GTATACACTCAGGTTAACCATGGATGTGATTTACGATTAATTCACAAGATTAAAAAAAAAAATTAGGAAATCAAACTCACCGCTGAACACCATCTCATTAATCAACAGTGAATATCATGTCTGAATGAAAATAATAATAAAATGATCTGAGAGTCGACCAACATAGGTTTTGCATACAGCAGTAGCACATTACAACCTCTGGTTTGAATTTTTGAATTTAAATCTAGATTCATAAATTTTTAATGTTAACAATCCATGATTAATCCAAAATGAGTGTACACTGAAAAATGTTTCATATTTATTCATTGACAAAAATGTTTACAAATAAGCATAAATTTGTGACAACAATATGAAAGTCTAAAAAAAAAAAAAAAAATTTAGTAAAACATGTATTAGAAAATTTAAAGTTGCATTCACACTTTGTAAATTAATTAGTACCATCCACAAAATGCTGAGATTGTGGTCAGTAATGAAAATTCAACTGCTGAAAATGAATTTAAGCAGACCACCTTAATTAAGTTTAAATTGGCACAATGGAATTCCAGTTAGTATATTATAAATATGTTGTTCTAAGGGACAGGAAAGAGCAGTACTCAAAACAAAATGTAAGTGTAATGAAAGGCAATGGCGGGATATCTACTTTTAATATATTACATTTTCAAAACAACACATTCTATTTTTTTAATTTTATTTAAACTTATTCTGACAGTTAGATCACCAAAATTTGTGGGATTGCAAGTACAGGTATAAGTAAATGATTCTTATATTAAAGTGTCTTTGAAAAATGTGATGGGTACCATATACATTGTACTAACATGGCTTCACCTCTTTTATCTGCTCTTCTTTTGTGAACGGACAGCACTAGTGTCACGATGTAAATATAAAGCAAAACTAAACTAAAAAGAAAAGTTTCAGCATATTTCAAATCTATAATTTTCATTTTTCAGTATTTGGCAAGGAATCATTAAAACCTATTGCAATTATTATTTACATAAAAGGAACATACAATGCTGTAACTGTACATGTGGGTGTGAGTCCCACACAACAATAATGTGTGCATAGCAACTAATTTATGCCACCTTGGACCTAATTGAACAATAATTAAATATTTAATTGTACAAAAAAAAAGATGGAAATTGCCACTTTTGCATCCAACAAAATGGTTGCCAGTTGACTATCTTGGTTTGGATTGCAAACAAATCAACTTTCACTGAAGTGCTTGATTGCAATTGTCTGTGAAAACTAGTTTGCATTTGAGATGCAAGAACAATTGTGACAAAAAGAATAAAAATAAGTATTTTCTTCAAGAAAAAAACAAACTGCCAGTCAGCCATTATGGATAGGGTATCAACAAAAATCAACTTTCATCATTGAGAAATAATACATTGCCTCTGTATCAAGTGTGAATAAACTGATTGTATTCCAAAGTTATCAGCCAAAATGTCCAAAAATAAGTATCTTGACACCAATTTTGAGAAAGTTTTGGAAAATAATGTGCCTCTGTAAGCCAACACAAATTACCAATATTCAAATTTGGCGGCTAAAAACATTTGGGATGTCCCGTTTTATCTAAAGGCAAGAAAAACACAATTTACCCTGCTCTGGGAGATATAAACCTAAGACAGGTCTATGGTACCCGCTTTATGCAAATCAACCTGATTATTGTTGCTATAGCAACTAGAGAAACTCCAGACTGTGAAGTAAAAGTAACTCCACAATGCCAGTGATAAGAATATTGTTTATCAACAGCACATTGGAGGCAGATTGGCAGATATGAAGACAAGTGTCCCATTAATAAACACAAGGTATTCTTATGTCATGTGTGCTGCTAATTATTCGCACGACTCAACAGTGAAATTAATATTTGTAAGTACAGATGATTGTTGTATGAAAGCATCACACTTTTTCTAAATGTGCTACTAAATTTGCACACATCAGTGTCAGTTTAATTTGGAATGCATCTTTTTTTTAGAGATAGAGATGACGTGATACCAAGCTTCAGAAGAGTTTAATAATATTTAAGTACTGTTTCAAAAATAAACAATCAAATTAAGAGAGATGGCATTTTTACGTTACTGTAATGTAATAAACATAAAACAAACTCATTGCATATAGAGTGGGCAACGTTAGTATTTTATAGGTGGAATTTTTGAATTTCACTTAAATAATCATTGTTTTCTGAGTATGGTGCATGTAACCCTTACTGAACACAACTATCACCCTATAATGTTCAAATGACAGTCGTTGCATTACACAAATCAGTATCAAATGTAATTACTGGGACGTTAGTAAATAGAATACCGGGGGTATACATTTTGTTTTTATTTTGGAGGTTTGCATATATAACAAGCCATGCATGGCACAGTCCCCGTTAATTATCAAATTTAAGATATATAGTTTTGTTTATAGTAATATAGCTGGAATATAATTTTTTAACATTAAAATGATTGACATTTGTATCTGATTGTCAAACAAGTACTTGTCCATATTGAGAGATATTGCTCTGGAACAGCATTCAAAATCAGCCATTTTGAATACATGTATATATATAACATGATGTATAACGAATATATAAAATTTGAATATAATCAGTCAAAGCATTTATGAGATATGGCTCTAGAACCCCAATCATTAAAGCAAAATTGCCGTCAGTCAGCCATTTTGAATCCAATCTGAAAAATAAAATGACGTGCATCAGGAACCCGTCTAATGTATGTACCAAGTTTGAACGAAATCCATCCATAAACACCAGAAATGCTTGATATTTGATGATGTTTTAGCACAAAAATGGCCACCATTTGGCCATTTTGAATAGGATCGTCAAACCAATATATCTGTCTATCTATGACATGATGTATAATGAATATTTAAAATTTGAATATAATTCAGTCAAAACAAGTCAGAGATATGACACAAGAGGCACATTCATTAAAACAAAATGGCCGCCAGTCGGCCATTTTGAATCTTATCTGAAAAACAAAATTATTTGAATCAAGGTCCCATAACGTCGAATGTATATACCAAGTTTGAACAAAATCCATCTGTAAACAGCCGAGAAATGCTTGATTTTTAGGATTTTTTAGCACAAAAATGGCCGCCCTTTGGCCATCTTGAATCAGATCGTGCAACAAAATGAAGTGCATCAAGGTCCTATAATGTCTAATGTATATACCAAGTTTAAACAAAATCCATCTGTAAATAGCTGAGAAATGCTTGATTTTGATGATTTTTAGCACAAAAATGGCCACCATTCAGCCATCATGAATCAGATCGTGAAACAAATTGATGTGCATATGTATAATATCATGTACGATGTATGTGTGAAGTTAGATTGTGATTGGTCCAGGCATTTCTAAGATACAGGTCCGGACGCACGCACAGACGCACGCACGCACGCACGGAGGTCAAAACATAAATCCCCGTTTTCGGACTGCGTTCGAACGGGGACTAACTAATATCTCCCTTCATTTGTTTATTTATCCTCTAAAGTACTTCTAAAGTAGCTTGTTTCCTTTTTCAGACATTATAGTCTGACATTTACTGGAATGTGAAATTATTGTAATTTCAGTGGAAACTACATGTAAGGTACTGTAAAATACATTATTTTAGCTGGAATTAATTTTCGCTGATTTTTGACAAGTTGAATGTAAATTATAGGAAAATAGGTAAATGCGTGAGATTTTATTTTCACTGAATCATTCCTTCAGCGAAAATAACAAAAATGCACTATGTGTCAGCACTAGCACTTGCAATTTGCACTTACAAAAAAAGTCAGGAGAGACAACAGTGACTGTCGCCTGGCACAAAAACATTTAAAAAAAAAAAATTAATTCCAAGCAAAAACAAAGTATTTTACAGTAATAAAAAAAATACTAAAATCAATCAGAGTGTAATGGCAGGCATAATATAAGTATAATAGTACATATGCCGCATAACATGCATAATGCAATGAAATATCTAACAACTTTGCAGTTGTACAAAACTCCTTTCTCCACCCCATATATATGTTAAAAAAGTTCTCTTGGAGTGGTCAAGCTTCATTTACATATTCATCAATTTTTTTCTATATCAATTCACTCTCTTTGTATTCTAATTCATTGTATAAGGGATTGGTGTCATCTTTAGACTCAATCCAGACAGATCCAGGCGTCTCTCCTTGTTTCTTCTCATCCTTTTTGCCATCAGTCTCGGATTTTGATGCCTATTGATGAATGCACAGTATTGTTTCAGTGTTAGAATACGAATAAAGTCGTGTACATTTCTATGTTATGTATGCTATGTTTGGGCAATCCGAACTTTTTGTAGCCATGACTATTTTATTTAATATCAGTGATTATAATTGACTGTAACAAAATTACATCCCCATGGAAACTCAAATTATCATACTGGTAATATTGATAGTAGACAAAATTAAATTTGGGTTTACAAAACATACATTGTACACTTATATATACAAAAATGCAAAGTTGATGGCTGTATTCATTTATTTACTCTCAGTGTCCATGAAGACTAATATTATACCCAATAACCATGACAGCGGATCAGTTTCACGCTTTACAAGTCATAAATTTACATAAACATGGCTGCCACCAGTACTGTACTGTTAAATATATATATTTATGTTCAGTTCAACTTCTCAATGCATACACTTCTAAATAGAGAAAGTTTAGTATAGTATTGAATTTTATTTCAACATAAATTAATCATACAAACTTACACTCTGGCAGTTTTCATAGTTCTTCAGTGTGCTTGCAGCCCATTTCAGTAATTGATTTCCATCAGGTGGCACCTTAAGTTGAGAATCCTTCTTGTTGAGTATGAAGAGTACTCTGGACAGATCACGAATCACAGCTCTGAAAAAAATGGAAGAATTTTTGAATTGTGATTTGATGATATATCATGATGTTAAAGGGAATTGACGATAGGCATTGTTGCAAATATTAAAAATGGCATTGGATTCATATCTGGTTCAGTTAATAAACTATTAATACCATATCCAAAATGTACAATAAACCTTGAAATAGTAACTACTGGACATAGCATTTGCCAATCAACGAACATATTCAAGCTTGTAGTAGATAAATTCAACTGAAAAATCAATAGCCTTGGACGTAAATGGTGGCCGAGATCTTGTTGAGAGCGCGAGTCACAAGACTGCAAGGTGAAAAAGGTGGCAGAATAACAAATCACAGTGATGACTATTCAGTTTCTGTGATTTAGTCCTTACTTGTAAGTAGTTGCTCTTGGACTTCCATGTTTCACACTCCTGTACTTCTTCCTGACATCGTTCAGCATTTTCAGGAACACATGGGCATGTGGTTTCAACTCTGTAACTTGTCGAATGAACTCCACCTTGTCCACTTTACCAAGGTTGGCTGCCTTGCGGGAGTTGACTCTGACGGGCACTTCACTGGCTGTAAAGATCAAAAGCGGCTCAGATTTAATCTAACATCTTACGTGATAATGGAATGCATGTTATATGAATTAGGACTTTCATTTTTGTTAGAAAGTGGGTTTATAGCAAAAGTAATGAAGCCCCTCCTTTAATCCATCTTAAAATCTCTTAAAACTTTTTATAAATCCTTGCTAGATAAGATTTAATTGTAGTTTAATGCCAAATTAATAACAGGCTCAAGTAATCTGCTCAAAAGTAAGGGGAAAGTGTGCTTCCATCTGCAGGTGTTGACAATGCTCATTTCTTTCTATGAGGAAATAGGAATCTGTAATTAATACTGAAATTGAACTGAGAGCATGAATGCAATGACATTAGTGACAAATTGTGAACAGTGTCTGACATGTATAGTTACTATGCATATGACTGTTACAGATTTGTGGTATTTGTTTTGCACAAAACCTAGTGAATGAATGACAGACACACAGACATTCAATTGACCATTTCACATTCCATGTAACAATCATGACAATATAGCGACTCTGCATGCATGCTTACATACCACTGCCATTACGATAGGTTCCTGTGTTCCTCTCGTACTTCTGATTGACAATATTGATACCTTCTTGTTTATTTTCTTGCTGTTTAGAAGGCTTGCCATACAAGAAGTCAAAATTGCCACTAAGAACAAACAAAGAATAATAGACATCAGAGATGAATTCAACTGTGGATCAATGAAGTTTATGGATACATATTGTTTTCAAAGCCTTTATGGATAGCTGTAATGAATGGGAAAGAATTGCCTCAGCAGGCAATGTGTTTCACCACCAGACTTTCTCACCCAAATTTTTCTCCACTTTTTTCTCAAAACTCTTCAATATTCCTGAAAATGAACTCCAAATTTGGCGCCAACAGACAAAATTTGAGTCAATTTTCAGTTTTTACTCAAAAATGTTTTTGGCTATATTTGACTTTAAACAGGACTATTTTGTGAATTTATGATGAAAAGAGGGAACATGTGGTAAAAAGGTTAAGGAAATATCTTTATAGCTTACTAAGTCATACAATCCTTGTCTAACTTCTATTTTATAAATACTTGTCATGCAGGAATATGACAGTGTTTTCAGTCAAGGCATTATGAGTAAGTTAAAATTGGGATATTTGTTCCCAGGTTAAGAGCGGATATTTAGTAAGAATACAGAGAAAGAAGAGAACTTTTTGATGTAACAGTGACAGATGTATCTAAAACTTTGACAAATTACACTTGTACGAGACAACCTATATATTTGCTCTATTAGGGAGGCATGTACTTAGGTAAATAGCAGAAGTGTGTCTACGGTCATATAAACCAGTAATAATATTTTGATAATCCAGTATACAGTAAATGTAGTGTTAGGTTTATGCAGGATTCAATTACAGATGCATTTCTGCATAGAGAAAGGACTACACAATGTCTAATACTACATAAATGCATACACAACACAATTTGTGCATTAGTTTGTTAATTGGCACATTTCTTAATTTTTGCTTTTCGAAATCTCGGTGCAACATTTTACACATTTTTTATAATTTTGGACTGAATAGACATAATATGTAGATTTATTTTGTGAAAAGCAACAAAAGTTGACTGAAGTTGACCTTTCACCCCCAAACCTGCATCCATACCTATACGTTAAGGAATTTTCGAGTATCAAATTTTCTATAAATATTTGCTTTCGGGTCAAAATTTCGGCAACTGCAAATATTTTCAATTTCTTACATAGACATTAACATACATGTAGAGGATTTGTATTGGAAACAGTATTTATTTTCCTATTTATGTTTTAAAAAGGACTAATCAATCTGAATATCAACAGACTTTCTGTAAGTAGTTTGAAAGTGTTATTACATTAAGAAATTAGAACATTACGAGACAGAATTGTACCCATGCAGTGCAAATAGTTCTACCAATACTCACCAAAGCGATACAGAACACAGGAAGTTGAATTCGGCAAGTGTTACTGGGGACGGCATAAGAAGAGATAGTAGAGGCAGAAATAATAATCCTAGACACAAAACTAATTTTTGTAGAAAGATTCAGAAAGAAAGAAATAGAATTTGTTTAACAAAGAAAAATAATACACCTCAGAAAAGACATAGTGACAATGCATGCAAGTTAGTATTGTTACGTTCAGGAATCACCGAGTGATGAAGGTGATCTTATTTTGACACCCACAGTTAGTTGACTGGCATCAAGGTACAAAAAAAAATTCAACACATTTACATGAAAGCAATTCAATTAGTTCATAATAATCATTAAAAATTTTTGTAATTCACAACTGAATAAAGTAATTTTACTGAAAAAAATTTGGAAACTACAGTAGAGTATCTTGTGAATAAATGGCTAATAGAATCCATAAGGATGTTGTGAAGAGGAGTGATGTGATCAGTGCGCCCTCACTGGCCAAAGGTGGATATTTTCAGTCATGCATTATACATGTTGTTGTACTGTTGATAATTTTAGTTTTTTTAATTTAGTTGTGACAAAAATGTGTGACAAATATCTGTTTTGCATTTGTCAAAATTAAATTACAAACTTTATACATTCCAGGCTATACAATGGGAGAACAATGCAATGTTTATTAATGAACCTAGACTGGCCCAGCTGTGGCAATTTTATAATTTTTTGTTCTTAAATCGTGGTCCGATGTGGTCTATACTCATTAACATACTTATCACCACACAAATGGGGTGACAATAGGTGATTTTCCGTACAATTGTGAGATCTCGCGAGATGCATGAAAGACGCAAAACGTCTGTCGCAAAAATCAAACGATTTGATTTTGAACTCGAATTTCTTAATTTCGTAGCTCACATCGACTGGCCGATCTTCGACAGAGCAATATTGCTTCCGAATACTCTTACTTAATCGAAATTGCCTATCATCAAATGTGGACAGCACATTATTAAGCATGGAAATATCCCCCGAAATACTTTCGCGTTTGTCGAATCCCATGCGATGTTTGACGCCACTACGACGCTATGACCTTTGTTTGTCCTGTTTTTACGCTCGATTTCACGCATAACGCGTGATTCTCGCAGTGAACGGAAAATGGTCAATTGTATGGGGCATGCCAGAACAGACCAGTTGCAGTAATTTCGTGTCAAGGCGGAAGATTCTATAAACTCGTTCTAAAGGAGGTATCATATGAAACGATAATATTGGCCTGACTGGGCCAGTCTATAATGAAGCATGCATCTTTCATACATGTACATTGTAATGTGACGATGTTAAAACTATTGAACCATACATACTGTGTTCTCTTTTGGTGAAAGAAACATGCCAATCCAACAATCAGTGCTATAACAATACCCATAGTTATTCCACCAATGATAGCCAAGTATGCAACGGACAAGTTGTCATCCTCCTCGGGATCTGAAATCAATACAATGAATATATTCTATGATGAAACTGACAACTTGACATTTGACAAGCACAAGCTCAGAAAAGTTGTAACCCATTGCATTCAAATGTAACAAATGCAGAGAATTTTCCTACCTGATTTTTTTTTTTGAAAATTAAATTCAAACCAGTAGCAATGAAAATTTATGTCCATTTGGATCAAAAAATGATAGAAAAGTACACAAAAATACTTTGGAGGAAAATTGATAGCATAAAGGGTTAACAAGGGGTTGTAACACCGAATGATACTTTGAACAATCGGTAAAAGTCAGTAAAAGTTTCAAGGAATGTGAGGAGTCTTTGAATACTATCATTTATTGTCATTAACTATGATCTTGAACATAACAAATAGGCACAAGTGTATGAATTGCAGATAAAAACAATAAACTCATGAGAAAATGTTTTCAGAATTGCATATAAAGTTTGAAAGAAATTATACAAAATGTAATTTCCCGGACACTCAATCAACGATTTTCATTCAAATATAGCACAAAACAAGCATATCACAAATTTGTTAAAATCCAAACATGTACTTAGAGGGGGAAACATAGTAACTTTATAGAATACTCACATGTGCAGACTCTGCCAATAAAATTACCATGGAACTGTAGAGATTCCTTATATGGGCATGTAGATACACAGTCTCCAACGTCTTCCACCACCATATCTTTGCATCTAGAGAGAGAGATGGATAATGGCAGCTTACAATTAATGGAAATACGGAACCTCTGTCACATATAAACTGAGGTGCATGAAAAGCAGAGGTTATGGGCAGTAAACATCTGAATTTGGTGTGATTAAACAAAACCCAATGTTCCTAAATCAAACGTGTATTTGACGATTACCTTTCTTTGTGCAAAATCAGAAAATATACCAAAAGTATAGATAGCAAAGTTTTTAAGTTTTATTGAGTCATTCAAACACTTTAGTTCATTTGAAGAGATGTAAAATTGGTATACTGGACAAGATACTGTAACACTGCAATCAATTATTTTTACATTTCTTTTTTAGATTAATACATGTATATACCGGTACCAAGTATACCGTAAACTTTGTATTAGAAGCCGCAACCCTAATAGAAGTCGCATCCACTTTTTTAAAATAATTGAGAACAAAAAATTCATCATTTTTCTAATAGAAGCCGCATCCCCTCTGTTGCATTGTACCATTTTAATAGAAGCCGCAGCTTCTAATACAGATTTTACAGTATATATTTAGATTACATTTAGAGTATGTACCACTGTTTTGAAATCTGTTACTGAATTAGTCATGGAATGCTCATTTCAATTAGCTTGTCTACTGTCAATGTCAATTCGTTTCCAGTGCTATTGTTAGAGTAGCAGCTAATGAAAATAAAAGTTTGGTGGTGAGACATCCATGGCGAATTGTTAACGCGAACACTATCGTTTGTAACAATAGTAGATCCATCAGCCAAGATACAGAAATGTTATTTATTGATGATATCGTAGCCAATGATAGCAACAGAGTAAGGGGGCAAGTATGTCTTGAAGTATTGCACAAACGTATTTTAGACACATATAGATTTGATAGTGTTATTGAATAATTTATCTTCACTTGGGAACCCACAGTAGCCAAGAAATTTGCCATAAATCCACCTAAGTCATGTATAATGCAGCTCTGGTGCATTATTAGCAATGCAAGAGGCACATAATTTGGTGCTTGGCAGTATGTGTCAAATATGCGAACAACTTATCATGAGTTCAGTCAATTGAATAATTGATAAATAAATCATACTTGCATTATATTTCATAACACAATGTTAATTATAACAAGCAGCCTGTCGGCTGAGATAGCTCCGCTGTTAGCAATGCACATGGCAATTAAAGAACAGAAGATATCATTAGAAAATGAACAAATCTGAGAGAGGTCCACATGTAGTACCTATATGTATAATATATCAAAGCAATTGGACTTGCGGTTTTCAACAAGAAGTCGAAAATATCACTTTTTACCAAAAATTACAAAAATATTCATCAAAATTAGAGAATTAAAGATATCATCATGAAATGAACAAATCTGAGAGAGGTCCACATGTAGTACCTATATATGTAATATCAAAGCAATTGGACTTGCGGTTTTCAACAAGAAGTCGAAAATATCACTTTTTACCAAAAATTACAAAAATATTCACCGAAATTAGAGAATTAAAGATATCATTACAAAATGAACAAATCTGAGAGAGGTCCACATGTAGTACCTATATATGTAATATCAAAGCAATTGGACTTGCGGTTTTCAACAAGAGGTCGAAAATATCACTTTTTACCAAAAATTACAAAAATATTCACCAAAATTAGAGAATTGAAGATATCATTACAAAATGAACAAATCTGAGAGAGGTCTACCCAAGGTACATATACACCAAGTATCAAAGCATTCAGGCTTGTAGTTTTCAAGAAGAAGTCGAAAAAGTAAAACATTGACACGGACGACGGACGACGACGACGGACAATCACTCATATGAAAAGCTCCGCTCGACAAAGTCGACAGCGGAGCTAAAAATAAATATTAATCACTGAAGCGTTTTCAACTCTTTTGTTCATTAGTTATTAACTCAGAATGCCCCCTTGTGAAAGTGGTTTATTCCAGTGTAAGTAGCACATTGAAGACTTTACATCAATTCACGGAAGCATATTGGTATTAAAATAGCCGGTAGTAGTAAATACAATGTACCCCATTGGCTGTAATAAAAGCACATCGCCAAAACATGCATATAAAAAAAAATTTCATTTTAATACTGTATACATGAAATAACACTTATTTTGACCATAGACACATGCCTGTCATTTACGTAGACTACATGTACTCCTATTTGTAATACATGTATATGTTACCCATGTACATTTATAGAGAAATGTTCATTTTAGATTTTCCTCATAGTGGAGGTAACAGATTTTTGCAATAAACTGTCTTTAATGTTCTTACTGTTAAGAAGCTTCCAAATCTCCCTTTGAGGCTGAAATGTTAGCTTTCTATAGCGAGACACAATATTTATTTTTGTATCATTTGAGAATTTTACTTATGTGCACTAAAAAGCCCAGTTTGTAGTTTAAAACATGTTTTTTTTTAAAAAACCACCATGTCACCATTCATTAATTACAAGTATTCAATTTTATTGCAACATCATCAGTATGAATGATTTTAAAATAAAAACGCTGTGTTTATTAAACATGTAATTAGCAAACACAACTATATGAGTAATATATATATCAACACAATACACACAGTTCTATAAATGCATGTTTTAACTTTCAAGAGGCTTTTACTGTGTTATCTCTGACATTACAGTGCCTTTTGATGATCGAAAAGTGATACGACTTCCAGGATAGGCGGAATCAAATAAATTATTTATACGGCGCCTTGGCTTCCCCATAAAAGCTTGAAGTGCTCTTTATTAAAATATGTGGTGCAAAATGCATAAAGCACATTTACTCTATCGGAAATATTCCTTCCTTTCTGTTTTTTTTTAGTGGAGACTATAAAATGAAATGAATTTTATTATTACACACATGTGTAGTTTTTTTGAATATGCTTGGTATTAGGGTATACTGAGATATCACTAGCTTCCGACCGACTATTTTCTCTAAACTGCTTTAGTTGCAATTTGGACTACAGTACCGTAAAATTTGTAT